GTTGGGCGATCGGAATTTTTGCGGTTTTTGGGGCTGACCTTTTCTAGCCCGTCCTTCCTCGGGGGAAGACAGTATCGCTGCTTCCATAAATGTGGACATGCTGGTCGCCTGGGGGAAACACCTTACTGCCTTCACACTCCTGTTGCAGAGGACAGTACGACTTTACCCCCCAGACCGCCTCGTATCACGATTACTCGTAGTATGGGGTCTCGCTGCTCTCCTTTGGCCTTCCTGGCATAGTTGCACCTTGTGGAACGAAATTCCAGCCAGTCTAGCCTGCGGGTTGTATGTAGCACTCAAGCCTGACCACCACGTCAAGGTGGCAGCTTTAGGTCGGGGATGGTGTACAATGTCCATCGTCTACTGACCGGGCGACGTCGTCAAGGTGGCAGCTTTAGGTCGGGGATGGTGTACAATGTCCATCGTCTACTGACTTATCGGGCGACGTCTCGTCTCACGGGCCCTCGGACAATCTCTCAGCATTTCCTTATGAGTCTTAAATGTTCACACTTATGCTCCTTATGCAAAGTTCCACATATCCTGTTCGGCAGATTTATAAACGCCTGCAGTAGTCAGGACCGCGTCTCAGAAACGTTTCAGGTAACCATGCCGATTGCGATGTGGGACTCCCCTTGAAACACATGTCACGGAACAAAAAGCGTTTCTTTTACTTTGGTAAAGTTGCCTTATCTGCCAGTCCACCGGATAACGTTGCATTGGTAGATGATTTTTCATGCATTGTGACAAGGGTGGAACATCTTGACGCGGCCGACTGCATAATAACGCGTGTCTCATTTCTTTCCCCCGTTTCACCACTGTTCACTCATCCCTTCAATTCTCTTTCGCTAAATAGTTTTTCGGTTAACAAATTGTCCACAGTTGTAAGTAGCTGTCCCCTCTCTTTTTGTGCAATGCAAGTGTGCCATGCTTCCATTTAATAACTTATTAATATTTTTCCCATTATTACTATACTACACTACACTACGCTATACTATACTATACTATACTATACTATACTATACTATACTATA